ATTACCATAAATATTAACTGAAATGTATTTCGAAACTCGAGTTCCCTCTTCAATTAGTAATATTATTACATATATAGGCCTATAATATGTAATATTTCATTTCAGAAGATTCAAAAAGCGAGCACGATGATGAGCAAGTGTATGAATAATTCTTCATTGAAAAATTATTCTATACAAGAGGCACACGATCTTCCAAACCTTTAAGATTATTGTTATATATCATTCATATATTTTATTATATTGTAATCATCGTAAGTAAATTTTGAATATAACCACAACTTAATTCTAACGGAGTTTTTAATTTATTTAAATATAAATTACATTGATAAAATTCTATTATCAGTTGTAAAGATTGGCATAAGACAAGATATTGCTTAAAAAATCCAATTTTAAGATAATATTTTTTTTTCTTTTCAAATTTAAAGTTTTTAAACACATTTACATATATTTATCATTGTACATTATTCTTTCAGTATGCATTACAACATTACATTTTTAGTCCATCTATAACGAAAATATCGCAGAAAATTACTTTTAGTGTTTAGCGATATCGTCATTTCATATAAAACAAAATCGAATAATATCACCTGAACTTTTTAAAAATATTTGATCTAAGTTTTGATCAAAAATATTACTTTTTCTAATCAGACGAAATCCAATTCTTACAATTTTTTGCGAGTCCCAGTCTTTTTATTTTCACGTTTTTCAGTCAATAACTATTTCTGTAAAGAATTTCGTACTTTCTTCAACCACAAAATTCCTTAGTTTTGAAGCAAACTGATTGTAAAACCTTTTGAAAATCAAGAATAATCTTATCTATATTTTGATTAATTTCTAATAATCTATTTTATTGTGATGATAATTTGTTTTGTATTTATTAACTCCTATTATGTTTTTACACAGGGATGAAATTAAATCGATTTCTCTATATATAAATCCATGTAAAATATATTTTTCAAATACTAAAATTTCCTATTTTCTAATAATAATCTGATAATTATACATAAAGTAATAATGTTTTCCATATTTTCAGTATTTATATTGTACAAAATGCGCATCTAGTACTTCATTAATTATTCTACATAACATAGAACCGTACAAGAAAAAAAGTAAATGATAAAATTTAAGTAAAAAGAATAAATTTCTTTAAAAAATGAAAACAAAAAAATACTTTATTAACTCTCCCTCATAAAACAATCCGATTAATTTTCACAGAATTATATATCATAACTTAATATCAAATGACTTTAGTTATAGCTTTTTAAATGACTTGTTTCCTTACTAATGAAGATTTGATTTACAGAAAAAAAATATGAGAAATTAGAATTACTTAACAACATAAAATATTGTCTAGATGAATCAGAAAGATTAATTAATAACAAAATGTATAAATTATTAAAAATAATATTAAAAAAAAAACAATTACGAGCAACTGAAAGTCCTATGAGAATTCACATAGTAATTTAATGTTCGTTACATGTTTTCGTATGTTTTTTTTTATTAATTTATTATTTAAAGATTTTGCATTTTAGATGAAAATGAAAACTTTTTTTGTTGTTTAATTATATACTCGTCATATTAATTAACCATTGACATTTAATTTAGAATGCATCTTCTAATATTAATTAATGTTGTAATTTTCTCTTAAATTGCATAGTTCAGTAATTTATAATTTTTTAATGTAATATCTCTGCTCAAAATCTGAAAAGATTGATTTAACTTTAGATATTTGTAATCTTTCTATATTTGGTATTGGAAATATCAATTTAAAAATACTTAAATTCTTTAGTAAAATTATATTAAATACCAAGAGATATTATTCATAATATTTTTTAAAAATGTGTAAAGGTTTGGTTTCATTTCATAACAGTCAAAAAAATCTCTTGTTAATTGGATATAACAAAAATTTAAAAATTTTCATTTAAATCATATATACAAGTAAACAGAAATTCCTAATAAGCAATTATCAATATAAACAAAGAAATCACTAACGTTGAAATTATTGCAACTTTCTATTTGACTTAATCTTTTATTATGTTATAATTATTTATAAAATCAAGTAATAAGTTAGGAAATTATAAAATTATAAAACCAACGAGAGTAAAATTTTAATTCAATTATTTAAAATGATTTTCATTGATTGGTCGATTAATCAGTAGAGTCAATAATATCATTATAACTTGATCTAAAATGTTTCAGCGCTAGTTTACAACATTTTTATCGTCGTCATCATCAGAAAATGTTTGAAAACTAAATACAAATAAACTAAGTTTATAACAAAGTGGAAGAATTGAAGAATGATAAACATATAAAGACATAATGTATGAAACTGTTCAACTAAATGGATGATTTAATTGATTTAACATATAAAAAATTTTACACTGATTAAGAATGTAAATATTTGAACTTTATTTAATATAAGTTTTAAAGTTACCCAAGATGAAAGAATATGAATTATTTTACAAGAAAAATTGAACAATATTTTAATAAAAGGCTTGAATAATAAGCTTGTAAACTTTATAATAAGTTTATTTATCATATTATTTCATTATCATTAAAAAAAACTCAATACTTATGCTCATTCATAGAAATATAATAATAATTCCTAAATCTAATCAAGTATAAATTGATTGGGCAGATAAACTCAGCTGGAAGGATTTTTATAACAATTTCTACTTTTAAAAAAAAAATGGATTTTCGAATATCCTTTTGTACAGAAACGTCAGTTTGCTTTCAGAAAGGGTACAGGAATTAGCCATGTGTTATTTGTTTTTAATTCGATTGTGGAGTTATACTCTTTGAAAATAAGTGAACAATCGCAATGAAAAAATACTTCTGCCTTTAGAAAGTCGAAAGAGCGTTAAATTCGATAAGTCATTATAATCTGTCAAAGAAATTAAAAAATTATTTAATGTTGGAATTACTATTGTCATTATCTTTTGATGATTTCTCATTATATGCGTATTTTGATTCAGTTCACTTAGTGCTTAGTGTACTTTTAAGATTATCTCTTTAAATCAGAATAAAAAGATCTTTTCAATTCATTTCACTCATTATTATCGTCAATAACAGTACAAATTAATCCTGATCCTTCCATAAATAAATTAACTGATATACGTGACGATAATTTTACATTTTTTTTTTTTTTGTGGCATTGGAAATTAAATTTTCCACTAAATTGTATGATTTATTCTTCTTATCACAATACACTAAAAATAAATCTATGGCATTTGACAAAAACATTAGAAATAAGATTAGATTATATATTCTCACATGACACCAGCACACATGGACTGTATTGTTGGCTTCAATTATACCCGTTATAGACGAGCTTGACCAGTAATGGAACCCCTAGCAATGGCGAAGGATGAAGAACGATGGACCAAGTCCGGATTAATCATGATAAATTTGAGAGTCCGGATCGGATTCGAAATCGGATCTCTCACAACGGTAGGATGGTGCCGTATTCACGGCAATTCAGAAACAACAGAAAATAGCTATTATATAAAAAGTTTCATATCAGAATAAGCTATTTAATTTTAACATTAATACAAAATTCCGACTTTGCAATCCTTCTCTTAATTCGTTATAAAAATCGTCATGAGCATGAGGATTTTTTTAAGAAAATTGAATAAACTGTTTCGAATAAAATTATATGCATATGATTTATTTTTAATGCAACAATTTAATAATGTTGTTTATTATATTTGAAATAAAAACTTACCAAATTTATTTATTCAAATGTAAGACATTCATTATTTGTTCTCATCTAATACTCATCTAATACGGAGTTTATTGAAATTATATTAATAGAAAGATTAATTAAATAGCATATTTTATTGGTTTAATAGCATATGGCAATGCAACACATGGGCGATTTGCCAAGGGACTGCCACCCAGGACTTTCTATGGAAAACTATTTGGGTGTTACACACGTGAAGAACACCAGGAAAAACTACACGTGGCCTGTCCGTTGATTAAACGCGAACCCACGACCGCGAATCATGTGAGTGTTTATTGGTTTTATCCACTCGTGCACTGGTGAGCCAAATTATTATATTAAAAAGAAAAAAAAATTAGATATACAATACTATTGAAAAATTAAGACATTTAAATTCCGTATTAAAATATTGACAAATTTGTTTGATTTAGTTAGCAATAATACATTAAATGACATTGTATTAAAATGCAGATTTTTTAAAATTTGTTTTAAAATGTTTTCTAATTAATATGTGCTTAATTTTAAACAATAATTTAAAATTTACATTTCTGCAATATACAAAATCATTATATTTATTCAGTAAAGTCAATTAAACAAATTAGGTTCATAAATAAAAATATAATTATTTATTTACGAATCTTTTATATTACAATAACAATTATTATTGTAATATAAAAGACCATTTATTTTACGTTTAGCTTAATTACACAATTTTAATTTATTTACAGATAAGCTTCAAAAGCTTCTAAATATAAAAAAANTATTCCTCACAGGGCTGAAAAATTTTAAAATATCATAAAAGAAAAACTGCTTATTTAAGATAACAATAAAATTTATTCTAAAAAAACAAACTTTATTGGTATATTCCAGTAAGCACTTTTTGTTTTACGATAAAAATGGGCCAAGTTCTGCAATCTTTAAAGACAGTTTTAAAAATTGACAGAATATATGAAGGTCGCAAATTCTTTCTTAAGAAGATAGAACTAGATATTTGAATATTTTATAAGCAATCTACGATTACTTTAATATATTGTAATTCATTCGAACAAACTCTATTTTTCATTGATTATAAAATAAATCTTTTAAATTGCATAACAAATACTTTTATTATAATGTTACTTAAGCTGAATTTAGAAAAAATATAATCTAAAATGAAAATATTTTACTTCAATTTATAAAAATTTTCTGCTAAAATGTTACAGATTTTTTATATAAAATGCTAAAAATAAATTATTTATCAGTGAAAAGGGTCTAATAATATTTATAAACAAATGATTATTATTTTCATCATCATAGGAGCACTTATCATAACCAAACCAAGTTAAATTACATTTAATATGGTAATTTAGAAGCGAAAATCATATCAAGAATAAATTTGGTTATGGATTAATATATATATAACTTTTCTTATTGTTCCTTACTCTTTATGAAGAATACTGGTTCTATCATAAATCACATATTATTTGACTTGACTTGACTTCAATTATTCTGGTGATAACTAATGGTCTTGCTGTGACATGGTCAATACTATATTCTGGTTACCTTGATTCATCCACTGGATACTTCGAATACCCATTACGAATTAGGCTGAATGATCTTCATAGTTACTGTAGAGAAGAGGAAAAAAATTAAAATAACATGGATCCAGTTGCGTTCTCAATAGTAAATAAATTCTAATGCTCTTCATAAAACAAAATAGTAATATTGTAAACATCAAGATTGTAACTAAAAATTAACATTAAAACCATAATTATTTCATGAAATGTGAAACTTGATATCTTATTATAATTACAAATAAAAAAAAATTAATTTTTTAATTCTTTCTAAAATACATAAAAAGAGATTTGCGACATAAAACACGTTCAGGTATTATATACAAGGATTGATTCGTGGGATTAACATACATTTAAACAGTCTTGTTCAAAACTAGGGATTATCTTCTAAATTACAATGATGTCATCATCGATTTAATTTAAGAGACAATCTCATAGATCTCGGATCGTACTGGGACTTAATAAGATCGCTAGACTAAGCGAATTAGATCCCTAGAGAATTAATAGATAGTTTCTAATCGCTACCTTAACTTTTCTACCCCTACACTTTCTCTGACATTAGACCTTATCGGCTTGTAAAACAAACAAACGATGTCATCTACCAGTTCTAACATAAGCATCAAAGATAAGATCAAGTCAGCTTCCTGTTCTGAAGCTATGTTTACATCAATATAAAGTAAATTGCTGGAAATAAATACGATTAAAAAGAGAAATTTAAGAATTTTCCTAATAATTAACTTCTTTAATGCATCTCCAGGCGAAATTTTAGAAAAGATATCCGCAATCATATGATTGAAAACGTTTTTTTTTTAAAATGTATATATGTTCATGAAATTACATTTATTATAAAAAAGAAACTTATAGAACCAGATCAAATAATACAGTTTATTTACTTAACTTCCTGATATAAAATTCATATATTAATTTAAAACTAATTAAACTATTTTTTTAACTGTTTCATTTCAAATTAACTTTATTCAAACATTAATTTATCTAATTATTAATTTTTAAATAATGCATAACGGTTAAAAGATTAAAATTAAATATTTAAAATTTATTAATGTTCTTATATAAAATGATAAAATAAATTCAACAATATTTAATTAAGCTGAAAAAACAAAATAGTTTAGAAATAAAAAAAATATACATCCATCATTTTTTAACTCTTTTTATTCAATAAAATTAATATAAAAATTCGATACTAGAGGAAATTACACTTGAATTTTTTTGAAAAATGATCCATAAATCTTTAACTTAAAGTAATAAAAGTATATTTATAACATTCTAATCGAATAACATCAATTAGGTTTTATAAATGGATTATTAATGATGTGAAGATTAATAAAATTTCAAAAATAAAAAGCGGTAAAAATAAAATATAAACTTACCTAACTTAAAATTTGTACGTAATAAAACACAATTTATTATATTATAAATCTATATTTACCTTTCACATTTATTTTATCAACTGATGTATCGTTGTTTTTAATATTTAGTTGTACTATTATTTCTTATTATTGAGGAGAGAAAAACTAAAATTAGAATGTTCAGATGCTGTATCAGATAAATAAAATACAATATATATATAAAAGAATGTTTTTTTTTTGAATAATCAATGAACTATAAAATATTACCTATAATATTCTAAGTTGGAACAACAGAGCTGTATCTCTCAATAACAAAATATGGTGTTCACTACCTGCTTTTCTTAGAACGTTCATTAGATGAAGAAAGATTTCAATGACAAATGGATGTTTTTGCATGGATTTATCTTATCGGTATAGGATAAATTTAAACAAAATGAATGTATTCTCAGACTACTAAAGAAAGAGAGTAAAGTTTTTTTTTCTTTCCTTTCTTTTTTTTGTAAGTGATCGATTCCGATCGTTCGAGTGAGCTTGCAGAAAAATTTAAATTTGTTGCAGATTAAATATAATAAGAGAGGTCATTACACTATTTTAAATAGATCTAACATTTTATTAAAACATTAATAAAAGTGAAATTAAATTTATGCATCAATTACCTTTTAAGCATAATTATAAAATATTTAATTCTTTTTATATTTATTTTTTCTAGTGATTTTATTAAGGTTTACAAGTATAAAAATTTTACTGTTAAACAAAAAAATAAATAATAGTTTTATTTTATTTATTTATTAATGTGTAGGTGCTACAGGCGATAAAATTTAAACGATAAGTATTGAATTAAATGTAATAAGATATTAATAAATCATTCTATTTTCCACTTTAGGCTATATAAATTAAATATATCTATCTGAGAAGATAGAATATTTTTGAACATATTAACAGGAATCAATCTCAAAGTTCTAATACTCTTATTCAAATAAGTTTCAATGTAAGTAGACTATTTGAATAGTATACTATTCAAATATTCATACCGAAAAGATACTGTTCAAATACTCATATAAAGAACGGAAATCATTGACTTAAGTAGGATATTCCGACATCTGACATTCCGACACTGGACAGTTCTATTGATTAAATATAAAAGAACAATTTTATCAAACAATAAAAGTACAATTCCATTGATTAATTAAATATACTCAATACTAGACACCGTATATCCGTTGGTGACGTCAGCAATGACGGGATAATTAAGTATCCCAGATACGGTTTCTAAGGTAACGATCGAGTAATCTGTAATCACACATTAATCTCGTTAGGAAAATGACCAGGATCTAAATCGTTCCTTTTGGTTAATAGTACAAGACAGTAGATGTCAGCACTTTTGAGATGTGATTTTTTCGATGACGTCATACACACATACAAACACAGCAAGACATCGTTAAAATTCAAAATCCAAGACGGAAAAGTTCGCTAAGCCGGAGTTATTTTTTTTTTAAGACGAAGAACGGAGATCATTGAAAAGTTGACAGGCCAAGCTGTTACATAAAACAGAGAACTCATCAATCATTTTAATCTCTTCTTTTCTGGACAACACAGTAGGAAAAGGACGACTTTTAAAAGAGGGCGACAGATTTTATTAACTGTGTATCTTCAACGATATACAGCTGAAGAAAGATTTATAGTTGTTTAAGTTATCTGCCCTCCAACATCTGTTGCTACACACGAAAGTTTCTCGAAATCTGTCTGAAGATGGGGATGAATATGTGATTCAGATTTCATTCAGCCGTATTACATCAATTTAGAACGTTTTATGTCATAAAAAAGTAATTAATTATTATTGTACAGAAAGAAAAATGGCAATAAAAATCTTTTGTCAATTACAGAAATCATGAGAATATACAACAGCAATAATTTTTATTATTAAATAAATTTCAAAAACTGCTTATAAATAAGTGATTTAATATTATAAATGAAAAATCCTTGTGTTAAATTCTTTATTCTCTTCGCCTAAAGACATAAGTGCAGAATTACAAAATCAAGAATAAAAAGTTTGATAACGATATAAAAATTCTTGAAATTCTTCTTGAATCATTACAAAATCGATAAAGAAATATCATATTAGAACGTCTTTGTACACTGAAGCAAGAATTTTATTTTGAGAGAAATCTGGTATCTTCGTGTATTTCCCTCTACGGCTTTTCTTTTATATATAATTTCAGATTTTTAATCATTAATAAAACAAAGAATTATAAAACTCAAGTTTGTATTTGAAAACAAATGATGTTCATCATGATACAGTAACTGTCAAAAACACTAAAACTGATAAGGTTTCTTCTGTCAATTCACCAAAACTACTTGTCAAGATCTTTTCAGATGTACAAGATATTCTTTTGTACTTGAACAGAAGGAGATGGCACTTCTGATGAAGGTTTATATAAAGCTGTAAAAGAATACTTCACAGTTTTGATGTCATTTCACATCATAGTTCTATGAGAACAAGCTCTTGAATTATTTGAAAACGGAAATTGTCTTCCGTGTAATGATTGTCATATTTATTGATTCAAGTGTTCGAAGACATTTTAACTTCTACTGATAGAAATGTCCAACAAACATATTCTACGAGGTTTTTTTTAGTAACATTGCTATTGATTTACCGTCAAATTCTCTTCTTCTTATTTCGTTTTTTTTCTGCAACGGAAATTTGAAATGTCACATCTTTCTTAGATAAGTATTTAGGCACTTTGAAATTGCTGTATTCGAAATCTTTGCTTATTTATATTCATTCTCTAAAGTATTTGACAAGTTTACAATAATTAAAATAAAAACACGTTCATTTAACGATTATTAATATCAATATATTATTAATAAGCGCGTTAATTTTTTTTACTTTGTAATTTTAATCTCATTTTAACATTCAAAAGTATCAAAACGTTATAAAACCCAAGGTATACTGAAGAAAAATGCTTTCGGAAAAATAATAAACGATAATAAATTCATTAAATATGGCATACTAATTTAGATTTCGAGTTAGAAAACATATAAATATCCTTAGTTTCATATTTAACTACAACTGAAAGCAATTTAATAATCTTCTTATTACACAACTTAGTTACATTAATGTAACTTGTTTGATGAATTTATGAATCGATGCAAAAATTAAGAAGCTAACTTTTAATTAATATATTACCTTTATGCATACAATATTTATAAATAGAATTATTATTGTTGTTGATATATTAAATAAAGATGCTCTGAATGCGTAGTGATCAGTTTAATTCTAAATTAGACTAATTGAGGATGAAATTGGATTTACTATATAAAGCAAGTTTATGGAAAAAAAATTCAATTTATTATATGAATACTCGGTTTGTATATATGATTTTATTGATTTTTCTTTTGTAGATATTATTTAATCAAAGAAACGTGAAAGCAGAAAAGAACAGATGGGAATCCATTAACTAAAGAGAAGTCGAGGAGAAGAAAATTAACTTGGTCGCTAAATCCGTCTTAGCTAGAGGAATTACCTAGTAGCATCGGTCGATGTGCATTTACAAAATCCTTCCCCTTATACCTTCCTCGCCAATCTAGATCGTTATTATGTCTTATTTCATAAATTACCTAAGTCAAATCGTATAATTAAAATTCTCAACAATTATATTCCTAATATTTGAACTTAAATAATATAAA